GACTTGAATTTTTTTTTATGGTAACTTTTGCCTTGACACTGCAGTATTTTTTATTTCAATCTAAAAATCTAACAAAATCTTGAGGTTGCCCAAACGGTTAAAATCTGTTTCAAAAGATTTTTGAATTGCAATCCAAAAATATTGCAATTTTGGATACATCCAAATTGGCACTGAGTCATTCTGCTTTTTTAAATATTCATTATGTAGCATTTGTTTATATCAATAATTGCAAGTAGAATATATGGATTTGATTTATTAACACCTCCTTGTTATCTCATCTTATGTTCAAAATGATTAGAATGAAATTTCTTTTTTTAGAAAATTTTTTGATGGATTGATTTCTGATGACAAATTTCAGAATTGCACTTTTGCCAATATTTCCCTGAATGCTAAATCCAGTAATACAGACCTATAACCATAGATATTAAATTGCGGCAATTTTTATGAAAGAAATGCTCTATTTAACTTATTTATCAGGATTTATTTGCTTTTCAATGCATGGAATTCTCAATGTAGGTGAACTTTATACTTGGGGTCGAGATGAAGGAGAAGGTAGGTTAGGCCTCGGTACTGGTGGTGGCCCAGATGAGGGTGCACTTGGCACCCCATCAAGAGTGGATGCATTACCAGTACCTGTTGCTGCTGTTACTTGTGGTGGATTTTTCACAATGGCTTTGACAACCGATGGGCAGTTATGGAGTTGGGGAGGTGAAATGTTTTTCTTATTTCTGTTAATTGATTGGGTATCTTCATAATGGGTATTCTTTTGAATGATCAGTTTAATAGTTCCAATGGTGTTAGTGAATTAGTGATAAATTCTCATATCACATTTGAATTTTAGGCAAAAACTGAAAATTATTTATAGTGAGACGATGTTAGTTATATGTAAATTTGGATCCTTTGTTCGAGTGCATCAGATTTCTTGACAATCATTTCGATACTTACAGTGTCATAGTTCATAAACTTGGTAGATGACCCCTCCTGGAAATTGACAAAGAAGCAAATAGTATAACCACATGACATATTCTTGACTGTATTTGGGATATTAATCCTACACCTAATGATAAAATATTTGATTCCGTTGTTCGTGGAATTTTTTTCATTTTTTTCTTTGTCGAGTAAGTCAGTGGTGGGATATGAACCTGGACCATAGTGTTGCAAATGTCAACAACATAGTGATGAAGTCAGGTGAAATCCCCTCTGTCTTGGGTTGTAATTTGCATTATACAACTTATGCAATGATGAACAACATTGACTAGTGAAATGAGTTTTAGTTTGGTGGACATTATTCATCCTTGTGTATGATGTTTGTATGTTTTTTATCAAGTACGTCCTGTATTTTTACCTTTGTTATGACAGACTTTGGGCAGGGTATTTTAAACACTGCCCTCTATTAGATATGTATATAAATGAACATGAAGTTCTATGAAATTGGTGACATCCATTTCTCCTATAATAATTAATTTCTTGCCTAGAGCTAGGGTTTGTCTTTTTGCTATCATTTTGCCCTAGAAGTTTCTTCTGGTTCTTTGTGATCTGTCTTCTCTATAGTGCTTGTTGCTTTCTTTTTTATACATTTCTTGTGCAATGTCCCCTATGGGTGGAACCATGTAAAGTTGCTGGACATGATAATTATTTGTTTTCTCTTTCTTTAGATTGTAGCAGGTTGGATTTGGTAGTGCCTGTTTCTTGTAACCGTCCATAGGGAAAATTTCAAGCTAGCCCTCCTTATCCGTGAAAAGTTTTGCATTTTCTGTTATGTGAAGCTCTCCTTCTCATCATGTTTTCTTGATATTGATGTCTTTCATTTGCCCTTTAGGAGTACCAATAAACTTGTAAGGTGTTCTGGTCAGTATGCTTTTATTGTCTGATTATATAATTTTCTTTTGGTCTTTTGTAGGTAACTCAAACTTTGAGCTGGGAAGGGGTAATAACATAAATGATTGGAGACCACAACCAGTTCCTAGTCTTGATGGTGTTAGGATAATTCAAATAGCAAGTGGTGGATTCCATTCTATGGCACTTACTGGTATCTCCTTTCCCTTTTCATTTAACACAGAATTAGACCTAGTTAAGTGCAGGTGTTCTCCAATTCATGAACGTTGATTAAGTTCGTCATTTAACAATTTTGAGAATCAATGCTATACTTCTGTTTATCATCAAAAAGTTAAAAATAATCAATGTTATGATTTCATTGTTTTCCTTTTTCTTAGATTAATTTAACATCTTCAAAATAAATTTCAGAAAATATACTATAATTGAATATAAGAAGAAACCCTAGTCGATTATGGTCGTCACCATCCAATGAAATGTTCAATGATGAGACAGTGGGACAGAACAGAAAGACCAAAATAATGGGTCTTAACCAAAATAATGGGTCTTACTTTCCATTACCAACTGTCATTTCATTGGACATTGATGACCCTCATGGACTGTGGTTTCCTTGTCCATTGGAATATGGTATACTTTAAACATGTAATACCCGTTTACAACCCTTCCATGGAATTAATATTTGAGATGCCGTTTAGATGATGGGAAAGTGCTTACTTGGGGTCATGGAAGACATGGTCAGTTGGGTCATGGCTCTATCCAGAATCAGAAGGTTCCAGTTGTGGTTGAGGCATTAGCAGATGAAAAGCTTATATATGTGGCATGCGGTGGTTCTTCCTCAGCTGCTATCACTGGTATTCACTATATGATCCTGTGATCTCTTCAAGTATATTTACATTTACTTGTCTATAACTACTTTAGATCATCTTTGTATACTGTATACTCTTACCCTTAACACAAAGTTAAACAGTTTCAAAAAACTACTTTGGATCATCTGTGTCAAAAGAGAACAGGCTACTTTCTATTTGTCACTTAAATTTTGCAAAATTTTCATGCTTTGTCCTTTATCTTAATACAAGTAATCTTTTCTCCCAAAAAAAAAAAAATTTGCATGCTTTGCTGCACTGTATCTTTGTGCTGCATCTCTTCCTTATGTTACTAAGATCGTAGAGAATGAGAAATAAATGACCTAAAAGGAGCTATATTATTTATTTATATAATTTATTTCCATAAGTATCTCAGTTACTTATTAAAATTTGCTGGTTTTCATATTTTTATAACGTAAAATGGATCCTATTTATATACAGCAGTTTGAAAAGCGGACCGATGGATTAGAACAACTATATTATGATTGGAATTGGGCTCGTGCCTTGGAGGTCACAGTGGGGAAACTTCAACCTGAAATCAAGGGTTCCACCATGTACTGACCCAAAGAGAAATAAATAAATATACAAATAAATTCTTAACTGTATTATGGTACATTGAAACTGGTAATAGTGCATGTGTGTCAAAATCAATGTTACAATAATAACTTTTTCAAAAATCTCAAGGGGAGCATGATAATCTAGTATCCATCATTTGTCATCGGGAATGGATACTAGATGCCCCTTTGATGTACCATACATCACACACCATTTGCATATGATGTACTTTATGTGATAATGGTACTCAGAATATGAAAATTTGCTTCTGAGTTACAGAGAGCGGTAAATTATACATGTGGGGAAACTCAAAGGACTGCCAGCTTGGGGTTCCTGGCCTTCCTGAGGTGCAAACATTGCCAGTGGAGGTGAAGTTTGTGGTTGACGATGAAAAACTAGGCCCTCCCCATGTCCTACTGGTTGCAATAGGTGCATCTCATGCTATGTGCTTGCTATCAAGGCCTCAAGCCCAAACTTGTGATTGATAAGATAGTTGGATCCAAAAGTTTGAGTCGGTGGTCACGATTATTCGTAGATCTCATGTTGGCATATTGTCAACAAGAAATGCTGAATGTAATATCTCTCTCTCTCTCTCTCTCTCTCTCTCTCTCTCTCTGATTTTTGTGTGTGTGTGTCTCTCTCTCTGATTTTTGTGTTTGTGGTATTTGTTTGGACAGACACCCTAGTTTTCATCATCATACGAGGGGGGAAATCAAGACCAAGGGGATCCCGGTAAGCTGATATATTGTGATGATGGTTTTAAATGTGTACATACTGGGGATAAACACAATATGGTTTTGAAACTCTCCAAACCAAAATTATAGTTCCATTTGGATTAGATTTTATCCAAAGTTTATAAATGCAACTGAGTCAATTTTGTGATATTTGAGACTTGCTAATTGGGGCTTCCATTAGGAACTTGGAAGCATGTCAAGTAATGATGATGTTGATTTCAGACTGTATCTATACTATATCTAACTTTGTCTTGTTGGATGGGCTGCTTTGACCATAGAAAGGAGGAACATTACAATATTGAATGTTCCTCCAAGAAGCAATTTTGAATAAATCACAAATTACAGAGGTAATGAACAAGAAGTGTGAAACTGGTGAAACTGTTAGTTATATTTGGCTAGAGAAAATGAATTGCATTTTCACTTTTGATTATTTGGACAGCATAAATTCCATTTGGTTGAGAGCGAGAAGTGAAATGTTAAGGGAAAGTATCTTTTGAATTTTCATTTCTATCCTACAAAAATAGTAATAATGCCACATTGTCCTTATTCAGGCTTCAGAACCCTCATTAACTAAGGTTATTTTAGCAATTTGACTCACTTTGAAGAAGCATGAACATTTGTCATTTGGTTGGGACTTGGACCACTTAGGCGGGTAAAATTATTACACTGCCCTCACTTGTTCAGGGTTGGGAAACTTGAACAAAGCAATTTAGGTATTTTTAAAGTTAATTTTTTAAATTACTTCTTAAGTGAAAAAATTGAAAAGTAAACCCTCTAAAGTATTTGAGATATTTTGTTCTTTTATATAATTTTATAAAGGATTTTGACCCCTTGAATGAAATTTTCCAATTATTAAATAGGTAGGGCTGTTATCAGGCTTCCAACCCATCTGCTGTCTGATAAAATGGGTTCACACATTGTATTGCGACCGTGTCAGTGTGAGTATATCTTTGCCCTGTCTTGTCTTGGCATAAACGGTTGTGGTTACCTTAGCTACATAAAAACTTTTGGTGAGGTTTGTATAAAGTGTCAACCTTAAACAGTCGAAATAAGCTGTACCTCTAAATCTTCACTTTTGGGTGAGGTTTGTATAAAGTGTCAACTTTAAACAAGCGAAATAAGCTGCACCTCTAAATCTTCTTAAAAGTTGTAGTTTTGGTGTCATAAAACCTTACAATCGTTTTAAAATCTATTTAAATTGTTAATTATAAAATTTAAAGCTTCAAAAAATGTTGTAGATCTAGCATATCTAGAACCACTCAATTTTTTGAAATGGTCGGTCTAAATAATGTATAATTAGATGTATTATTTTTAGGTCTTGAAATCTTTTTTTTTGTTTTTTCCTATCCATACATCTTGAGGTCAAGATGATCAATTGTACGGTATTTTGACATGAAAATAACCTTTTCGAGTATAATTTTGGGACGCTCCTCACTTTTGTAGTATAAGGTGTCAACCTTGTATAAACTTCTTCAAAAACTTTTTTTTGTTGAACAAGAACATAAGTTTGGATTACTTCCTTCATTATGTATTTTAAATTTGTAGGCTAGTTGTTAGAAGCTTCTAACTAATTTTATTAAAGATGTGCCACATTTTGAGAGTAAACGATATGCATTGCCTCCTAATATCTCATACATGGAAATGGGGTTGGGGCATCAGGCATTAGAGCGTGAATGCAACGTCCCATCCTTCATTCCCACTAACTCACACACAGAGGAAACCACTTCTTAGGGGGGTTTAAAAGATGTACGAGGTTATACTTAGCCTGGAGGATAATATCGATTTTGGGGCTCTCCGGAGGAAAATAATCTATTGTTCATAGAAAAAATATTGTTTTATTTTCAGAATTTAAAACTAATCCTATATATTTAATATTGGAAATGTATACAAACCATTCAGTTTTGATATAAGGAGGTCATAATCAACATTGACCATTAGATTTGAAATTGGGTGGTTGAGGATGTATCATTGTTTTGGTACACCGTCCAAAACAATATTTTTGAAGTGTTGTGGCACATTTTTATTTGTTAGATTTTACATCTATTGGATAAAAATGATTGTGATCTCCTTATACAAAAAATAAATAATCTCATAGTATACAATATTTTTAATATTTTATATTTAAGTTCACTTTTTTAAAGCTTTTTTTTTTTTAAATGTATCAGATTGAGCTGAAATTTAGTTGGCCCATGCTTCTTACCATCAGACACATATAAGAAATGTTAAAAATTATAAATAATAAATAGCTAAAATACCCTTATGGTATTCAGGGGTATTTGGCAATTTATTATTATTATTTTAATCTTTTTACTTATAGATAATGATTAAAAGTATGGACATACCAAATTTGAGCTTAAATCGATACATAGAAAAAAAATAAAATTGAAATACATATACTTCCAAAAAGTGTGACTTGATTATAAAATATGAAATATATAACATTATTTTTAAATTTTGAAATCAAAATAGATACTTCTTTAAAATTTCCTAATTAATTTAGGGCTCCAGAAATGCTCCAAATTTATTTCCATTGCTATATTAAATACCTTCAAAACTTGTACCCAAAGGAAAAACTAAGGAAAAACTAAACAAAGCTTGGAACAATTAAAATTAAAGAAGGGAGATGACTTACGCATAAAAGCCTGCTCAATATGGGGTGCCAACCTTATATCAGAAAAGTAAGTTGCATCTCAAAACTCAACTGAAAAAAGTTGTTCTGATGCCAAAAAAACCCTCCAATTCATACATATCAACCTCGAGATGCATGGATGTGAAATTAAAAAGGGTTTTGGCCTTAGAAATAGTGCATTATGCATGGATGTGAAATTAAAAAGGGTTTTGGCCTTAGAAATAGTGCATTATGCATGGATGTGAAATTAAAAAGGGTTTTGGCCTTAGAAATAGTGCATTATGCATGGATGTGAAATTAAAAAGGGTTTTGGCCTTAGAAATAGTGTATTTTGTAATGTATTATCTAAAATATCCATTTTCAAGATTTCAATACGTTCACAGATATGCTTGATCTATATTTTTTTTGAAGCTTTAAATTTCATAATTAGAAATTAAAATTAGTTTTCAGACAACTACGTGAATTTTCAGTGCTGAAATAACATCTTTCGACATCATCTGTAGCTGTGCCTTATTTTGATTGTTTAAGTTCGATTGATTAAAACACTGACCTTATACAAATCTCACCTCTCATATGTTTCTTTCTGGATGTGGATGAAATAGAGACATCACACCTTCATTGCATGTCAAGTGTCAACAACGTTGCCAGGGTTGGTTTGTTGGGAGAGTGTAATAAGTAAATGCACCTGCCCCATTACCTAGCTGGGCTAGCCATGTTGTGGCTCTGGCCTTGGCCGGCTACATGTTTTGGCACATGCCCTAGTTTTTTTAGGGTCACTCTGACCGGGCCTGGCTGCTGCCCTGCCTTGTTGCATCCTTAAGAAGATGTTTCACAATTTCGTTTGGTTTGTGCCCGTAATGAATAACATCGTAGGACTGAACAAGGACCGTCTGGTCTATAAACAATGAGATGCATAAAGATTATCTATGCGGGACAAGCCCACATATGTAGAATTGTGGGCCTCTTAATAAATCTATTTTTGAGATAGATTTTAAAACTCAATTTTTAAAGATATGTAATCTCTAACATGGAGATCATGAATATGAATAAATAAATAAAATTTGAAAACTAGAAATAATAACTCTAGTAAGAAAACATTTAGAACACCTACCTGCATCTATCTTTAAGATGGATGCTTTACACTTTCTGGACCGCATCTGTAGAAATGTGGTCCAGCACGCATGAAACAATTTTCCTTATCTAAATTATGAACAATGAGATTGAAACATTAAGAGCTCAAAATATAAATTCTTTTATTTTAAATAAGGGTGTGGTTTGTATGAAGCTGCAACTTTACTTATAAAAATAAAGTTGTGATGCTCTACACTTTTCATTGTATTTGGATGCAACATCTTTTAAGACAATATCCAATCTATGCCATCCAAATAAAATAGACAATATAGATTTTTTCTTTCAAATAATCATCTAATAATAATTAAGTGAAAAGTTTCAAATTGAAAAGGTCCTCTTAAGTAACGTCTTTCCCCGAGGGCCTAAGTAATCTAATGGTACTTAGGCGGATCCCAAAATTTTGGATCCATAAAATCTCCCAAGTTGCTCTTTTGCCATACTCGGTATTTGGTCCTGTGGGAGCATTTCTAATACGCGCTCCTCTTTTATAGTTATTATTTTTTTTATTTTTCTTGAATGTTAGCTAATATAGCATGCTCCTCTTTTACATTTGGAAAATTTTTATATAGAGCTGAGGCTCTAAACATTCTGATTAAAGCCACTGCAAAAAATTCACTAGAAGAAGTTGTTCTGATGCTTAAATATCTTCAAATTGATCATTTCGACATCAAAATACATAGATATGAGAAAAAAATGAATTTCAAGTTTTCGAATAGTACATCTTGTAACACATTTTTGGACCGTCAATTTTCAAGATTTTCAAGCTCTCATAGATCTATTCGATCTACACTATCTTTAAAGCTTTAAATTTTATAATTAAAGATGAAAATACATTTTAAGGCTATCACAAAGATTTATAGTATTGAAACCACATTTCTCGACACTATTTGAACGTGTGCTTTACTTTGATTGTTTAGAGCCTTACTCTATACAAACTACATCCTTTACATTTTCTTTTATTTTTTCTTGAATGGTAAGGAAAATTGTTTGGTGCGTCCAAGCCCACACCTATTACTATGCGGGCATGGAGATCTACACCGTCCACCAAAACCTGGTCTCGTAATTAATAGTCCTCCAAAGAAAAATTAACGGTTCAAATATATTTTCCAAACAAATCATTTCTACTTTTTCAAATTTATTTATTTATACAAATTAATAATCTCCATGTTAAAACTTATATATTCCCTAAAAATTAGGATCAAATTCTATTTCAAAAATAAATTATTAAGGGGCCTGCATCTCTACATGTAAGTCTGTGGACTCATAGAAACCGTGTCCTAATTTTAACTGATATATCATTTTCTTTATCAAAACTTCAGGGGTAAAAACGGGTCAGATCCGGACCCACACTCGAAAAAAAATTATGGGACCTAGACCCGAAATTATTGGACCTGGACTCGATTGGATCCGACCTAAAAATAAAAATTATATATATTTAAATATTATATTAAATATATACATGTATTATTTATATATTATAAAACATATAATAATATTTAATGAAATATAATTAAAATATTATATATTAAATATTATTTAAATAATAACATCATTTGCATGGGGTCCGGGTCCATTGC